TGTCTAAGTCCCTTCTGACTCATTGATTCTATGATTCTATATAGGTATTTGGAATTTATTTTGTTACAGTGATTGTTATAGCAGTAGTAGGCTTCCAAATTGCTTTAAAATTGTAAATATCTCAATAGAACATTGTGTTCAGCTGATACCTATATATATAGTGGCATGTCATTTTAATTGCAGAAAAACATGTATTTGGGGGTTTTTAATCAGATAATTTTGGATTTTTTTAACAGAGAAAACCATGATCCCTGCTTATGAGGAAAAATTAGAAAGTAGCCTCAGTCCGCTAAACAGTTAGTGTTGGTCCTCTCCAGCAATAGTTTTCACCACTCTGCTCCCCACAGATGATACAGTAGTGATCTCCTCAGTATATAGCAAATGTGGTTAATTAGAGAGGGTCTTGTTTATTTTTGCATCATTATCAAACATTTGGAGCCTTTGCTCCAGAAAAGGCAGAGAATTATTTTTTAAAGGTCTAGATAGAAATCCTATACCCTGTCAAAGAGAGATGTATTTTCTTCATGTGAATGAATGGCCCTGGGCTTCAGAAATTTGATGGATCAGAATTTGTATGATTTAAATAGCTCCAGTTCATCAGCTGTGGGCCTTGGACCCATTGGCAGTTTCCTGGGAAACATCTCTTCCTTTTCCAAGCTTTTAAAAACAGTCAGTTTCTTATCCAGAAATCTGTCATCTTGTGTCTAGGATTTTGAGCCTTCAAAATGTCAGGTTTGGGACTATTCTGAAAATGTCAGAGGTTCTTTTAAAGCCTTAACAAACCATGTAACAGGGGTTGGTAACCTTGTACTAACGTGGGCCACAGCTTGCAACCCAGCTGGGACAGCAGGCCACCCTTGCCCTCTGGCTACTTTAGCAGTGATGATCAGAGGTTGTACTGAAGAAAATCAGCCCTCCACACAGGCTGGAGAAGCTAGTTGGAGTGGCCAGAGGCAATTGGTGCACCATTACCAAAACATCAACTGGATCAAACTGATGGGAATTGGCACGCCCTTAATTAAATGCAGACAGGATTAGACCTGCAGCAGGCCAGTTTCTTCGCTGGCTGGATCTGGGCCACAGGCCGTAGGTTGCGGACACCTGCTAGAAAACTACATGGGGAAATAGAAACATTGTACTGGTGTGTGTATGTGCTGCTTGTTTCCTCCCTCCCTCCAGCTTAAATTTTAGTATTACATTCCTTGCTGCAGTGTGCGGTGCTGGCTGGAGCTGTGTGCTGTTGAGCGGCAGTGCCTGCACCAGGTACGAGCGCCCCTGCCTGCTGCATGCTGTGGCGGGCGTGTGGGGTTGTCTCCATACCCCCTCCCAGCACCCTCCTGACTTTCCTTCAGAACCAACACCCTGTCCACCCATGCACTACACTGCCACCACCCCTCTAGGCGTGGGCTTCGCACTGCTACCAGCCCCAAGCTTTATGCCCCTGCCCCTACCGCTTTCCTACCTGGTGCACAGAGTGAGTTGCAGCAGCAGCCCTGCCCAGAAGCTGTGTGTTGGCCAGACTGGGCTCTTCTGCCCATAATGGGGGGGTGAGGTGCAGTAGGGTGTGTTGGCAGGGCGTGTGTATGCGTGGGTGCCAGGGGCCAGATGAAAGTGTCTGGCAGGCCA